CCCTAAAAAAAGGAAAAATTAGTCTAAGGTCCCTTTCCCATTTTTAGTAATGGAAGAGATCCACAATATTATTTTTTAATGTCTAAGGTCCCTCAACCCGCACCCATCTATTTTCTGATGTTCCTAGGCATTCTCGTCTTCGACCCAAACTAGATGAGTTCTTGCCTCAAGCAGCTGGCATAGTTTTCGTGGTGGTTGCTTTGGAATTCCTGCCAAACTGTTGAGCAGCGTCGGAGTATGTGTATCATGCAATATGTGATATGTATCCAAACATGTATATGAACACGTTGTATGATGAGTCTTAACATCTGATGCTTATGTGGAATATGTATCTTTATGATATTTTGACCAAGGCAAGTGTTGTCATGAAAAAAATTCCAGTACTTATCCTCTGCAACAAAGTAGATAAAGTGACTGTGCATACCAAGGAGTTCATGCGAAAACAACTCGAAAAAGAAATGTATGAACTCGAGGTTAATGTAGACATTGATTATTCAATTACTAATGTTTCTGTGCTGTTACAATTACATCATCTTTCTTAAATAGTTATGGACTTGGTCTTCAGTGAAATTTATAGATCCATATATATATATATATATATGTGTGTGTGTGTGTGTGTGTGTGTGTTGAAAAATAGAGTTTGTTATTACAATTTAGAAAAAATTATAATTATTACAAATTTCTCTGCATTTTTATGTTATACTTTTTATGTATTTTTTATTGAACATGTTATTTTTTGTCTACTTTTCTTGGCAACCAAACAAACTTTATGCTTTATGGTTCACTTGAAATCTAGAGAAAATTCAGAAAAAATCTCTAGACAGGAATCTAAAAAATTTCTCTGGCCTTCCCAGAATTTCTCTTCCAAAGAATTCTCTAGATATATGTATATTGCTTGGATTGATGTTCATGGTAAGTAAAGAAATTTGTGGGTTTGTTAGTAAAGATTGTGTTGTTGGCTTACATATTACACAAAGTCAAAAAATTCTTTGTGAATAGAGCCAGAGAAATTTGTGAAGTCAGAGAAATTTCCTGGATCAATGTACAAGCACCAAGGTCTGTTTATAAAAATACAACTCTGTTGCAAATAGAAAGAATTTCTCTGGTTTCAATCTAGAGAATTTCTATGATCTGTGTGGTTTGGAGAGAATTTCTCTGGTTTTGGACCAGAAAAATTTGTGGGTTTGTTAGTAAAGATTGTATTGTTAGCTTATATATTATACAAAGTCAGAGAAATTCTTTGTGAATAGAGCCAAAAAAATTTGTAAAGTCAGAGAAATTTCCTGGATCAATGTACAATCACCAAGGTTTGTTCATAAAAATACAACTCAGCTGCAAATAGAGAGAATTTCTCTGGTTTCAATCCCGAGAATTTCTCTGATCTGTCTGGTTTGAAGAGAATTTCTCTGGTTTTGGGTACATTGGAGGGAAGGGGGAAGTCTAACCCCATTGGTTATCTACTGTATTTTATATATATAAAGAACATCGGAATGTCATTGTCATTTGTTGTTTTGTCACAACTATGGGAAGGAGACAATATTACCATTATTATTATTGGTGTGTGTGGGTGAGGACGTTCTATGACACCACGTAAGTTGCATGAACAGTAGCTGAATTTTCTATCCTTTGCCCATTTATGCATTGGAAATCTTCTTCTGGTCCTAATGCTCTTTACAAATTATTAGTGAAGGGAGATGCTGAGGTAGGCTTTTTACATTATTGGCATTGTGTCCAAACATGAAAAGAGTAGGATGTTAAACTCCTTTCTTCATTGCCATCTTCGCCTTCCTCATCACTTTCAAGAAAAGAGTTCCCCCCAGGTATTTCAATTCATAATTCAAAAGGCAAAGTACACTGGTCACATTAAACTCTTCAAATCAGAGTTTTATAGTTCCAGAGAAAATTCAGAATTTCTCAGGTTCAACCTAGAGAAAATTCAGAATTTCTCTAGGTTCAACTCTCTAGCTTAAACTGAAATTTCTCTAGGTTGATCCAGAGAAATTCTGTGGTTTGGATTGACCAAACAGATATGTATAGTTACTGAGATATGTATATAAACTCCTTTTGGCATAAATTCCAACTAAGAATGGAAAAGTAATGGCAAAACATAAACTCTGCAACCTCAAATATGAAATTTCTACACCCTGGAGTTTGATCTCAAATATCATAAACTAAACAAATAAATAACAAAAGGAAAAAATAAAATGAATAATTTGATTTTTTTTTAAAAGTATACACACAAACTGGTTCTTATATACACATCGAACCCAGAGAAAATTCAGTCCAACAACCCAGAGAAAATTCAGACCAACCAAACCAGAGAATTTTGTAACTTGTTGCTTAGAGCAGGCTATCAATGTTTGAGGACATAGAAAACCTTAGCAGGGATTTGATAATGGAAAGTATTCTTAATTGATATTTCAATAACAAACCAGAGAAATTCTCAGATTTTTCCAGAATTTCTCTGGTTCTGGTAAGTTGCCATTTTTATCCCTTCTAATGTTGCTTACATATTACAATGTGAAATTTTTCCAGTTGAATTCAGTTGAACATTGTTCAACAGAGAAACACTTTCGATTGAAAAATTCAACTGGAAAAAAGCGAAGAACGGATTTGGGTAAGTTGCAGAAATTTTTCCAGATATTACAAACCAGAGAAATTCTCAATTGTTATTTTTAATAAACCAGAGAAATTCTCAATTGATATTTCAATAACAAACTAGAGAAATTCTCAGATTTTTCCAGAATTTCTCTGGTTCTGGTAAGTTGCCATTGTTATCCCATTCTAATGTTGCTTACATATTACAATGTGGAATTTTTCCAGTTGAATTCAGTTGAACAATGTTGCTTACCTAATGAATCAGAATGATTTGGATGTGAATGAGAAGAAAAGTAGAGAAACTCATCCAGAGAAATTTGGTCCAGAGAAATTTCTCTGGGCCAAAATTTCTCTGACCAATTTTCTCTGCACTGAGATTTCTCTGGACTAAAATTTTTCTGGACCAAATTTCTCTAGACTGAAATTTCTCTGGATCAAGGTTGAGGGACCTTAGACATTATGAAAATATTGTTGAGGGACCTTAGACATTATGAAAATATTTAGTGTCCTTTATGCTATAAAATCATAATACCAGAGACCTTAAAAAAAATCCTAAATTCTACTCTTTTTTTTGGTTTTTTTTTTTTTTTGATTGATTCGTTAAGCAGGGTCATATATCATCTTTAGAATTAAAAAAATTAAAAAAAAAAGTGCAAGTGATTAATTGTTTTAATTAAAAAAAAATTAAAAAACATATCAAAACAAGATTCAGTATAAAATGTAAGAGTAAAAATTATAATTTACTCTATCAAAAAAGAATTGTACATAAAAAATATCAAATAATTACAATAAATTTACACTTAACGTTGAATCTCGTTTTTTTCCCTTTACTTTTCACTTTCCAATTATGATAGTAAAAAACTTTCATTCAAGTCAAATACAATCTCATTATTTGGTTGACTTTCATATAAGTCATGTAATTATCACATGTTGGTGAACAGTACCCTATGTGATGCCATTACCTATCCTAGTGGACAATAGCAATTCCCTTTTCTTTTTTTTTTTGGCCTTTTTTTTATGATCATAGGAATTTCGGAGCTTAGTTTTAACTATTCTAGGCTACATACAATCTTTATTGAGAGATTTATTAGAAAATTATTTTTCAAATATTTGTATTCTAATTAATTTATAAGATATTTTTATATTCTAATAAATTCTATTATTTGAACATTTAATCTATCAAATCATAATTATCATATTTAAGATGTTTTATGGACATTTCTACCCTTATAAATATTTTTTGAACGGTTAGCAATTTGATAATGTGAACATTCATATTTTAATTAGTTTGAGTTTTTAGTTTAATATTATTAGTTTTTATCATGAGTTAAATGTAATTAGTTTGAGTAATTATTTTGCTAATATTAACAATTTATTCTTGTAAATAGAAATTTTTGGAACCGTAAACCAAATCAAACTAATTAAAATATCTTATAAATTAATTAGTTTGAGTTATTTCAGTTTGGATCTGGTCCGGTTGTCCGATTTTACAAGTGTAATGGTCTGATTTGGTTCTCAAAATCACAAAACCGTTAGAATCAATTCGATTCTTGAATTTTCTTAGAACCGAACCAATTCGGACCGTGTACACCCTTAATAAAATGTTGTTTCTTCTACTTATGCATCGACTCTCAACCTAAACTGAGTGAACTATGAGTAGCTTGATCTTATATAGTTGTCACATATGGGTTGCATCCCTTTGATGGTGCCTATTCATTGGGTGGTGTCCTTTGAAGATGACCGTTGAGGATATGTATAAATATATATTTCTATACATTTTGATTATTACACAACATAACATTAAACGATACGTATTGTCTCTCTCGTCTCTCTGAAAATAAGCAATGAGTGTGTGAAAAGCTTATATGGTGTATGTTATTTGTGTTCTTTGATGCTCATAGAACCCTAAACCTTCAAATTTTAACAAAATTTATGGGCTCTTAAATAATTTGTCCTCATTGTATTAGTAAGTAGCCCAAAAATAAGAATCTAATCCAACTTATCTAAGTTCACAATCCAAACTCAACAGCAGTTATAATTTAAAAAATACAAGAATAATAATATTTAACTAATATTTTGCTATAGTTGAATCAATTTTTATTTGTTATTATAACTTTAAATTTTGTTTAATACTTTTTTTCTTATTGTTCATTGGATTTTGTTAAGCTATAAAGAAACAAGACTTCTTTTTTTTTTTTTTTTTTTAAACTTTTGAGCTTTTGTAATAATTTTTTTATGTCAAGATAAATTTTTAATATATGCTTTTTGAAACTATATATGAAAACAGACTTTGTGTGAATATTAGCAATTATAAAAAAAAAAATTATTTGTACTTGACAAGATTGAAACAAAACAATATGGGGCAATAGTTCATACACCATTGGGGATCCATGAGCAACAAATTTCATAATGGAGTTCATGGAATTTCTTTTGGGAAAACCTCAAGAACATAATATTTCAAAATACACTTGAGAAATCCAAGAAATACACTTCCATGAAACTATTACTACAAAAAATATAAAGCATTTACAAAGTTGTAGTAGATGTAAAACATTTTCTTTGGAGTATGAATCTCACATTTTCATTTGAGTCATCTGACTATGTTACAGTGTGTCCATCGCACCAATTTGTGCTCAAAATCTTCTTTTTTCTTTCTCATCCATGTCCAAAACGCCGCCATTGGCTGAAACAAAACAATGCGGGATACACGAAAGAATTGCGCTACCTTTAATATCATTCTTTGTAAGACTACGCCGACAAAAAGAAGGAATCTAGGCTCGAAACTAAAAACCCTAATCTGATTATGTTAGCTATCTGCAACTCTTCTGTAGAAAAGAACATAAGCCGCTGAGGTTTTTATCCTGTCTTCATTTATGGGCGAAACCCGGCTGTCATCGAAGTCATACCACCGATCACCCCCATGCTACATCACAACAAATAAAATTAGAACAATCATTCAAAAAGAAGAAACAAGCACTCAATATCATACATCTAAAGCTTATCAAGTTTTATAGACTTGCAAATTTTCCTTATTTAAGTCCATAATTAAAGTACAGAATACTAAAAATGCCACAAGGGCTACGTCTAATGTATGGCAAGACTGTCTTACATCCAACACTACAGGCTTAAAGGCAGTTTTATATCTTCTGGCATGACTGTCTATATATGTTTTACTATCAAACGCTAATAACATAGCAATTTGGAACACACGTCCTGAAACAAGGTACACCTTGGTTACAAAATGGTATATTGGCAAAACAAAGCAATTCCCGAATTTTTCCAATTTATTTTCTTAGGAGAAAAAAAAAATCAAACAATACAAAAATGGTTTACGCTCTGAAAAATGTGTTTTTGCATGATTAATTTGAAAACTAATGGATTATATTTTATTGGATTTTTAATTCTTATCAGCATTGCACCTCAAAAAAAATTAATTTGAAAACTAATGGATTATATTTTATTGGATTTTTAATTCTTATCAGCATTGCACCTCAAAAAAAATATATTTATTATAATTTTACTCTGTCAGAAAATTCCAACTTTACCCCACCCATAACCTCCCAAACCCTAACCCTAACCCTAACCCTACCCATACCCCCTACCCTAACCCTAACCCAATTCTAGGGTTCGAAATTGAACCCTAACCCTAACCCAAAGTTTGTAATGCAAATTGAACCCTAGCCTAACCCAATTCTAGGGTTTTCAATTGAATTTAAAATTAGAAATTAGGGTTAGGGCTAACCCAAAGTTTTTGCTTGAATTTGTCTGACAATTATAGGGTTAGGGTTTCAAATTGAACCCTAGCCCTAATCCAAAGTTTTTTGTTTTGTGGGGGGTGGGGCTAGGGGTTGAAATGATTAGTGTTAAGTGTGGTGTGCAAAGAATTTTTACAAAATTTGGGTCCAAATACAAGTGTCGGTACAGTTACAATGCTAATGAGAATTGAGCTTAATCCCACAAAAAGTGTTTCCATCACCAAAAGCTAGCAGTCAGATTATCCTTATCACTTGTTGATAACACCACAAGTGACTAAAATATAGCATGATATGAATTCACTTATTTGAAATTTTTAATGTCAGTGCAATGAACTTCGGTTTTTTTATGAAATATGTTTCACTTTTCTTTATGAAATATGATGGTTTCAGATCAAGGTACACAAATGATACACTTAACCCCAAATCATTGAACTAGAAGAGCAGATTTTTTTTTCCCCACAAAGCAGACGATATTTAATGTTTGTTTTCTATGATACCTAAATTGTAAAAGAAAACTAGATAATCACAAAGTAAATAAATAAAAATAAAAATAAACAGAATACACAAAGATGGGGATTTAGAACTCTTTCCGCAAGAAGAAATGCCACTTACATGGACAAATGCAGTGTAGTGACCCCCTCCCATGCTTCCATAGTGATTACTAACTGCATAAAGCATATACCGATTTGATGATTGACTATTCCTGTGCGCAATGTATGTTGACAAATCAAGATTGTGGACAGGGAAGTCAACACACGTCTCCAGCTTGTTCTTCAAAAATCGGCTGTATGAGAACCTCTTCAAATGAATAACTAAAATCTCGGGCAGTCTCCAAAGATCTAATTTTTTGCTTGCTTGACGATGCTTTTTGCAGCCAGGACAGTACCTGAGATTACATATCACAGTACAGATCATTAGGAAAACCACAAAAACAGGCCAATTTCCGCAAGGTCAGTGATGAAAGTAATGAGCTCACATGTATACTGAATCCAGAAGCACACTCTTGCGCAAATGGACAAACAATTTGACCAAATATTACGACAAAACATGAAAGAATCTAAGAAAATAAATGCCCCCGAATGTCACAAAAATGCTACTTCCTTTGGCCCACCCCAAAAATAAATAAATAAATGAAGTCTTTTCCTTTCTGAGTTTTTTCCCAAATGCATGAAAGTGGATTAGGTCAAAAGAATGAACGTGATGTTGAAAATTTGGTCTTACAAGATGACAGTGGAAACATAAACCCACAAAACAAAAGGCAAAACACTTTTAAAAAAACTATCTCGCCTCTAGTAACATCTCATATAAAGAATGCTTGCTGCCTACAAAGGAAGAATATTTCCAGATCCAAATTCAAAAAAGCTAATGATGTACACACTGACCACATGTCCTCTGGTCCAAGAGGTTCCTCCTTCAAGAATGCTTCAAGGCATTTATATAGAGAAACAGATTCCTGAGGTCTTTTTCCACAGAATTCAGACTTAAAAATCTGGGGTAATGAGCTATGAAGGCTTGTCTTGTAATCCTTAACCATTTTAGCTGACCAACACACAAGCACACTCAACCGCCCAGTCAAAGCCCTGGATGCTGCTGGCTCATTCATTGCAATTCTTGAGTCCCTAGTTGTTCCCTTCTCATCTGTTAAGTAAAACTCCAAATCAGCATCAGAATGTGTGTCCAACTCTTTTCCATTAGAAGAGTCTGCAACTCCATTTATCTCAGGTGTTGAAGCAACCTCCATATCAATTAGTTCTTCAGTTGCAGTTCTCTTGATGTTATCGTCATCATCTACAGAATCTTCATTAGGTATTAGGAATGCTCTTAGTAATTTTAGATACAAATTACGGATATCAGAACCATTTACAAATTTAGAACTTGCTACAAAAGGAATCCCAAATGCCTTCCAGCTTCTTGTCAGCTTCCCACAGACAAAAGGCCTGACAATGTAAGATTTATTAGAGATTTTAGATTTTAGTATATTAACTTTCCCATACCTGAAACCATAACATTACTCCAAAGGCAAGAATCTAGTTTGAGTAGCATACAAATTTCAATAAAATTGAAAAGAAGCACAAGCACGCTGACAAGAAGATCAAACTGAAAAAGAAAATTTAACTTACTCTTCAGCATGCTGATGCATGAATACAACTATTTGGACGTTTTCAGCATCCTTTGGTAACCGATAAGCAACCAGTTGGTCATCATCTCTAATTAATGATAATGAATCACCTAGCTCCCCTAGATAGCGGATGATGCGATTATTGTATATCTGTAAGTAATTATGTAGTTTTAGAGCTCAAAACAAAAGTTTACGTTGATGAGTAAGTACAACTGGACTAATCTAATGTGCATGCACGCCATTATTGGTCATAGTAAAGTTACAATTACTACAATATACCTAGTACAACTGGACTAATCTAATGTGCATGCAAGCCATTATTGGTTCATAGTAAAGTTACAATTACTACAATATACCTCAGCCACCAAAAGCGTCTCATCAACCCCTAAAGAGCAAGCAGTGCTTAAAGCCTGAATAAGATCTTCAAATTTTCCATGCTTGGGCACAGTAATAGTTATTGGGGATGGTGGAGTATTTCCATCAGTGCTCATGACTGTCAAAGTCATTGTCCGCATCATCGTTGATGGTAATGGTAATGACAGATACATGAATGGATCGAAGGTAACAGAGACCTTTCGGCAAACAGGACACACTAATGTGGACCTATATTGACCCTGCAATGGCAAAAAATCAGGACGCATTTAATCAATAAGGATGAAAATTTTATCATCAAGAGTATCTAAAAGCCAACTATTATCAACCCCTCATAAAGGGCAAACAATGTGTCCATCTAGGGTTATAAACAGATTAAATTGTTATCTGTTCAATACATGTCTAATCATTTTCTTTGTCTACTACAGAAAAATAAGATATCTAAGACTGTTGGGGAAAACATGAAGAAGTTAAAAGTAGTCCATTATTCCTGAGAAATTAATAGCCAAACTCTAATACATGCATGATTCTGTGCAATCAAGAAAATCAATATGGACATATATGCATCTGCAGCCAGTTTAACACATTTGTAATTATGCAATGCTCTTATATTCAATCTGTTATTAAACCCTAATGGCCCTAATGGCCTTGGATCAAATCAGATTTGCTTTCTGAACTGCCACTCTCATAGCCCTACAATAATGAAGGTCACTACCCAGTGTTGGCCCAGTCAATTTGTGGTGCTGAGAGGGCTCCACAGGGTACAGACCTAACAAAGACGAAATGGCTGCCACTGATACGAACCCACATCTTTACACTTGACAACATGAGCTTTTACCAGAGCATCAAACAAATGGCCTGTTTTGGCCTATGACATATTAATCAAAAATCCCAAATGTAGAAACTAGAGGATAAAAAGGAAGCCTGCTTTGATCAAATTATTTGAGAAATACAAGTTAATCCGGGAGAAGATTTGATAATTTTCAATACCTATTTGATGTCACCTCCTAAAGGTTTTAAATTTTGTGCACAAATCTAACCTTAAATACTAATTGAAAGGCAATATGTTAATATTCTAGATCTTGAAACCAGAAATTTCATTTTTTCCTTTCTTGAGACAGTAAAAATAAGAAAGCAGAGCATATGACAAGTTTATAAAAGGATTCCAGAAACCTGAACTATAGTTTCCTTTAGAAAAGGAGATCAACATCCTGAGGTTCTGTAAGTTTCACATTCTAGATCTTAAGAAGTGTTCAGGGTACAAATCTAAGAAGATTGAAATACTCCATTTCCAAAATAAAAAATGCAGAGGATACCAGAAAAATGATACTCACTTGACACACATCAACAATAATAGAGTCATTGCGAGCCAGATGATTCTTCCAATATTCATCAGCTACTTCTTCATCAGGCCGGTCATCCCCGTCCTTGACTTCTATGTACGGTTTGCATTTTACACGATTCAAATCTTCATGGAGCCCATCCAATAGAAAAGCAAGAAGCTCCTACAGAAAATCAGTTCCATAACTCGAAAGACAGAAGCTAGAATTCTAAATTCCAGATAAAGGGAAACACTAACTTGGGAATCATGTTGATTAAAACCACTGAACTGAGGAGCAAAATGAGCAAGTTTTGACTTGAACATTCTTGGTGCTACAGGAGTTGCTCCAGGAGCCCATAACTTCCGCAACAAATCGCCAAATGCTAAAGCAATCTCACCCTGACCAAGAAATGGAGAAAAAGTAATAAACTTGAAAAGGGAAGTCATTATAAGAGATTCCACAGAATATCTTCAGGAAAAAAGTTCATGAATTTAATGCCATTTTTGTGCAAATAAAAAAGGAATGCAAATAAAAACATAAAAAAGGGGGGAAATATTAATATTAGAACAAATAGATATTGAAAGAGAAAAATTCATGTAGGACCATGGCATTTTTATGACAATAACAGATGACAACATACATCCATGCCTAAGGGGTTGTCATGATTTATTTCTCTACTGTAATCTCCAAGAAAGTAGTCCACGAGCTTCGGTGTGTGCACCAAGCACTGAAGAGAACTGTTCATGAAACAAGTATTCCCAAGGTTTAGTAATCCTGTCAAGCCCAAAGAACCAGATTCACCAGAGCCCCCAATAAAACTACAGTTCAAATTGGCAGTGCCACCATTCATTGTACATGAAGTCCCATTAGGAAGAAGCCCCTTCATATCATCTTTCTTCACATCTCTGCTTTTATTGAAATCTGCCAACCCATAAACTTGCAACTCAAGGAGAATCTGTATACAGACAAACAAGAAGGGAAGAAACATAAGTGCTCATACAAATTGATAAGACGTAAAAAATAATGATGATAATTAACTTAGTAAGCAACATGGTGTTATAAGTCAACAGAATTTTGTACTTAATTCTTTTTAAAATGACATAAACAGAGTGGCTAGTCCATGACCATTTTAGGCTCCCTCAATCTTCTGCATCCTCTTCTTGCATAGCAAACATGGTACAGCCACTATGACTGGGAGATCTTGGGTGCATTTGGTGCCTTATGTTGTAGACTAATCTTGTGTGTTCTTGTATTTTCCTAACTTTGTGTTCTTGTATTTTCCTAACTTGAGGACAAGTTCTTTTGACAGTGCGAGTGCTGATATGAATTAGCGTGTTGGCAGTTGTTGGTTGAAGCTAGCCTTTGTCTAAAAATAGGTGGTTAGTATCTCAATAACTAACTTTTGACATTTGAAAATTGTAAATTTCAAAGATTTATTCAGTGTGTTTAGTTTCAATCTTTTGGATTCAATTTCTAGAAAATTGAGTTTTTTGGTTTTTGTATTTTTTTGTTTTTAGTGAATATTTTTAAAATTTTAAGCAATTTTTTTACTTTTTAGATGCGCCTTACTTAAATGTATCTAAAAATAAAATATTTAAAAAAATCAATAATTACACAAGAATACGAAAAATGTATTGAATTCTCGTATTTTTTTTATATTTTTGATATTTAGTGAATTTTCTAAAGTTTTTTTTCATAAATATTATACTTTTTCTTAAAAAATTGATTAGAATATTAAAAGAATTCAATGAAAACAAAAAAATACAGACAACAAAAAATTTCAATTTTTGAAAGGTGAATCCTGAAAATCCAAACCAAACAAGCTGATTAGCTCTTGTATCCAAAATTTCTCTCTCCTAGAAATCCAAAGTCTTGTAAGTTGTGATATTGATTCCATTATTTTTAATTAGTAAAAATTTACCAACTTATACACTTAGCTTACCATCTATGAAGCATCTGTATATTCAAATTGCGTACTAATACAAAGAATATATCTGATTATATAGTAAACTTAACCCTAAGACTAAAAGGAAACACTACCATATATATAAACGTAAAACACTGCCATATATATACACTTATACAATCTCTCAGAAAATGAAATACTGCCATATATATACACCTATACAATCTCCCAGAAAAGGAAACACTGCCATATATATACACTTATACAATCTCTCAGAAAAAATTGTATTATTGATTGATATATGTTGTTGTATTTATTACAAATGGTGAGTGGCTCATTATATAGGAGAGGGTGAGGTTTAATTTTCTGAAAATTTGTTTTTTTTTTTTTTTTTTTTTTTTTTTTTTTAGTGAATATTTTTAAAATTTTAAGCAATTTTTTTACTTTTTAGATATGCCTTACTTAGATGTATCTAAAAATAAAATATTTATAAAAAAATATTTTAAAAAATCAATAAGTACACAAGAATACGAAAAATGTATTGAATTCTCGTATTTTTTTATATTTTTGGTATTTAGTGAATTTTCTAAAGATTTTTTTCATAAATATTATACTTTTTCTTAAAAAATTGATTAGAATATTAAAAAAATTCAGTGAAAACAAAAAAATATGGACAACAAAAAATTTCAATTTTTTGAAAGGTGAATCCTGAAAATCCAAACCAAACAAGCTGATTAGCTCTTGTATCCAAAATTTCTCTCTCCTAGAAATCCAAAGTCTTGTAAGTTGTGATATTGATTCCATTATTTTTAATTAGTAAAAATTTACCAACTTATACACTTAGCTTACCATCTATGAAGCATCTGTATATTCAAATTGCGTACTAATACAAAGAATATATCTGATTATATAATAAACTTAACCCTAAGACTAAAAGGAAACACTGCCATATATATACACTTATACAATCTCTCAGAAAAGAAAATATGCCATATATATACACCTATACAATCTCCCAGAAAAGGAAACAATGCCATATATATAAACCTAACCTAATATTCTCACACACCCGCTCAAACTCAAGGTGTTGTAGCAGAAAACATTGAGAGTTTGCCAAAAAGAAACTGAAACCAAGCAGTGGTGTGAGTCTTAGTAAAAGAGTCAGCAAGTTGCAAAACCGAAGAGACGAAAGGAAGCAAGATAGAGCCAGACTGCAGATGTTGAAGGACAAAGTGACAATCAATCTCAATGTGCTTTGTTTACTCATGGAAGATAGTGTTATGGGCAATCTGAATAGCACTACAATTATCACAATAGAGCGAGGTCGGAAAAGACTAAGGGACGCCCAAGTCAGACAAAAGACAACGAAGCTAGACAACTTCAGCAATAGCGTGAGCCATAGCACAATACTCAGCTTTGACAGTAGAACAAGCAACAATAGTTTGTTTCTTACTTTTCCAAGAAATCAAGGAATCGCCAAGAAACATACAAAAATCAAAAGTGGACTTACGATCTGTAACATCACCAGCCCAATCAGCGTCAACATAGGCGACTGAAGCCAAGGAAGAAGTAGAGGACAATAACAATCCTTGGAAGATAGTACTGCGAAGATAGCAAAGAATCCGAACTAAAGAAGCCCAATTTGTAGAACGAGGAGCAAAAACGAACTGACTAACCACATGAACAGCATAGGCAAGATCAAGACAAGTAACTGCCAAATAGACTAAGCAAACCACGAGCTCCCGATATAAAATACGATCAAGTAGAGGAACACCATCAGTAGTATTAAGTTTCACATTAACAAGCTTAGTGTTAGTAAGACCAACACAATGAATAACTTCATTAGCATACTTGGCCTGAGACAGAAAGTAACCCTTGGGAGAAAAAGCCACCTCAATACCAAGAAAGTACTGCAATGGGCCCAAATCCTTCATTTCGAAGGTGCAGAAGAGATGCTGTTTGACCTCAGAGGTAGTAGAAGAATCAGAACCAGTAATAATCATATCATCCACATACAATAACAAGGCAACAAACCCAGCAGAGGTGTGAAGGAGAAACAAAACAGAGTCCTGGACCGAAAGATAAAACCCAAGCTCAGTAACAACAGTCTGAAAACAATCATACCAAGCACAAGGAGATTACTTCAAACCATACAAAGCACACTGAAGACGACAAATCTATCCAAAGGAATGGTGAAGGCCAGGAGGAGGACGCATGTAAACCTCCTCAATGAGATAACTATTAAGAAAAGCATTCTTAACATTCATCTAATAAAGAGGCCAATGACGAACAGTAGGGACAAATATCAAAGTACGAACAATAGTCACCTTAGCAACAAGGGCAAAGGTCTTCTCATAATCAATGCCATACTCCTAGGAAAAACCCTTAGCAACCAAGTGAGCCTTGTAGCGCTCAAGAGAACCATCAGAATAAGTGTTGACTTTGTAGACCCATTTGCAATCAACCAAATTCTTACCAGCAGGCAAAGGAACCAACTCCCAAGTACTAGTTTTCTGCAAAGCAGACAACTCATCCTCCATGACTTGAATCCAATGAGGATCCTGACAGGCCTCCTTGTAAGACTACGGTTCGGAAAAGGAGTGTATAGCAAACAAAAATGTACAGTATAAAGGAGAAAAACATGTTTTCGCAAAACCAAGTTTGACTACCTATTCACGGATGCGAAGGGGATAGTTACAATTAGCAAGATCAGAGTCGTCAGAAGCAGAAGGATCAGCAGCAGGGGCAGAGACAACTGGTGGAGGGAGAGCCTTGCGACGAGAATAGACTAACATCGAAGGACGAGAAGGAGAAGGAGAAGGAGAAGGATAAGGAACACGAGCAGGCGGGAAATGAGGAGGAAAGGAAGGAGTAGACTCATGGGGGTCCGTAGAGAGGGACTCATTAGGAGGGGTGGTACAAAAAGAAGAGGGAATAAGCTCATGGGGAACAATAGAGATATACTCATCAAGAGAGACCTCAAAAGGAAATGGATCAATATGAACCAAATCTTTTTTGGAAACTAGGGTTGTGAGAGGAGGAAGCTAAAAGTAAGGTAAACGTTCGAGAAAAGCAACATGGTAAGAGACATAATAAAAGCGACGGGAAACAGGGTCATAACAACGATAACCTTTCTGAGTAAGACTGTAACCCAAAAAGACACATACGACAGGCCAGGCATTAAGTTTGGTCATATCTTTACGGGATAAAAGGACAAAACAAGTAGACCCAAACAGACGAAGGAGGGAGTAATTAGGAAGTTGAGAAAACAGAGCCTCATAAGGAGACCGATCAGAAAGAAGAGTGGTAGGGATATGGTTGAGAAAAAAAACAGCAGTAAAAACTACCTCACCCCAAAACAAAGCCAGAACGGAGGCAGAGAGAAAGAGACCTAGCTGTCTCAAGGAGATGACAGTGTTTACTCTCAGTTCGACCATTTTGAGCAGATGTATCAGTGCAGGAAGTTTGGTGAATGGTCCCCAAATTGGCCAAATATTCACAGAACTCAATTTAAAGTGTTCCCCACCCAAGTTGGACCACAACAATTTAATAGGACACCCAAACTATATAGTGACCATAGACTGAAAAGTACGGTATATCTAGTAGAAGTCAAACTTATGAGTCATAAGATAAACTCAAGTATAACGGGTGCAGTCATCAACAGATGAAACATAGTATGCAGAACCCCCTTTAACGAGAACAAGAGAACCTCAGACATTAGTATAAACTAAAAAAAAACGGTATATCAAATATAGAGGTACTTTCACGAAAAGGTAAGGTTGTCATTTTGGCAAGTTTACACCCCCGACACTCGGTAAGTGGACTAGGAAAAATTTTACCCAATATACCCGACTAAGCTAAAGGCCGTAAGCAACCAACAGACAAATGTCCTAATCTAGAATGCCACAAATAGAAAGAACTTAAGAAAGAATCTAATTGAAAAGAAAAAAAAGCAATCAGAGAGGTAGTCATAGGCAGATGTAGGCTCTCCACCACATAGAGGTCTTTAACTCTACAACCAGTCCCAATCTGCTGCTTGGACATCAGATCCTACACAGAATAGATAGAAGAAGAAAAGATAACATCAAAACCGGAGGCATCAAGCTGGTTGATAGATAATAAACTGACAGATAATTAAGGAACATAAAGGATAGATGGAAAAAAACAGTAGACATAGCAGACAATAAGACAGACCCTACAGATACAACAGACATACCAGATCCATTAGCAAATTAACACTAATAGGAAACGGAGGGAAAGTACAATTTTGAAGTAAGGAGAGATGGGAAGTCATATGATGAGAGGCACCAGAGTCAAAAATCCAGACAGACAAAGAAATACCTGAAGAAGACCCAAGCAAACCTAAATGAAGAGAGGAAACAATGAAGGCAGATGGGGATGGTTGGAAGGTAGACAGTATATGCTGAAGTTGACTAATTTGAGCACTCAAGGAAGCCAAGTCAAGATCAAGAGTCAGAGCAGATGCAATATAAGCAGCGAGAGGGAACCCGGAATTGGTTCTAAGATTGCTGAGTAGAGGCAGACAAACATCCCTTCTTGGGACAGTGGTACTTCCAATGAACCTTCTGATGGCAGAAGGCACACTCATCAGAAGCCAAAGACATCATAAACAGAAAGCTTAAGTTCAAACTGTAATTACCCACAACCAGAATCAAATGGGTCAAATTGTAATAAGCAACAAATTATCCAAAGAACCTACAAACTGCAAAGGTCTTGAATAAAATATATAATAACCAAGTAGGGTCAAAATATAATAACCAGAATTTTGACCTAGAGACCACAAATATTCCCAAGTCAAATGAAGGCACCGAACTAGAAGCACCAAAGGGAGACTGAACACAACTATCCTAAGTCAAAGGAAGCACCAAAGCAGAGAACTTTGAACCAGAGAGAACTTTGAATCAAAGGCAGAACCTTGAACTAGAGGAAACTTCGAATCAATCAGAGGTAAGAACTAGGGTTTCAGACACGGCTCTGATACCATGTAAGTTTCTGAATAAATTTGTATATTCAAATTGTGTACTAATACAAAGAATACATCTGATTATATAGTAAACCTAACCCTAAAACCAAAAGGAAACACTACCATATATATAAACCTAAAACACTGCCATATATATACACCTATACAATGTCTTAGAAAAGGAAACACTACCATATATATAAACCTAACCTAATATTCTCACAGCATCAACACCTCAAAATAGGTGTCATAGTAGTGTCGGACGTGGCGTGACACACAAGGACATGTGTCTAACACACCACATGGCATGTCCATTTTTTTGATAATTTTTTCCACTAGACACGACAGGGTCTTATTTTAATTTTCCAAAGCTAATTCCAAGGCTCATATTATAATATTTGGAAATATAAGAGTTGAATAAAAAAAATATATCAAACTCATCCAACCATCGCATCGAACAACACAACATAAATCTACCCACAACTATGACATTGAGAGACTAACGTCTAATGATCCCTGGAAACCTAACACAACACATATCTAGTCTCTGGTTTATTAAATTTTAGTGTTTTTTTAATATTAAATTAGTGTTAGTTTTCAACTTTTTAATTATTTTGGTTATTTATGGATGAAATTTTTATAAACATTAAAATATTTTTTTTCCCATTTCCTAATTTTTTTTAAAACACCATGTCCCATGTCCTTATTCGTGCTTCATAGTTTACCATTTTAAAGCTCAATGAGATGGAAGGGAGCATAAGCCAGAAGCAGAAGGTCCTGTACTGTCCTTTCAGTCTTTCAGGTGAACATTGAAGCATTATCTTAGTTCACAAAAGAAAAAACTTTTTTATCACAATTCTAAAACCATTGTGCAAGAGTCTTTACTATGGAATGGAAAATACATTTAGTAGTTGGTCTATTTTGAAAAGACATTATAAGCTATGCAATCAAATCCTTATACTATAACCTTTTCTTAATATATCTTCTGTTTCATATGATAGAACGTGTAACCCCTTTGATCCCATGTTTGGAACGCAACCACCACGAACTAAGGTCTATTCCAAAGCAAATCAATACCAAACTCAACCAAAAGCATAGAATAATGGATATCTTTTTTTCCCTGCTGTTAAGTGTAGCGAATGTCTAAACAGGTTTTAGTACAAATACAAATATTAAATAAGAAATAACCTGACGTCTATATTAAACCTCTTGAGTAAAGGGTAAATGATAACCTTAATAAGTACCATATTGCACCCCACCATGGTAAGATTCACTAGCTACAAAGCACATACCTACTTGTATAGTACATTTATAATTCAAGCAATCAACTAAACATGATTTTTATTTTTGACGTCATAAAAATTGAATTCAGTTCTGCTTTATTGATTCACAAAATGTAAAATTGGTTTCCACGTTTCAAAAGATACATGGGGCTCAGAGTCAACTCAATTGCTATACCATTATACCCAATTGTTGTCTACCTCACTTGATAAATATGCTTAAAAGAAAACTGGAGAACAATAGCCAACAGAAAATAAATGTTGCACCACCAGATTTTACTTAAATAGAAGTATGACAATTTTAAGTAATAGAAACTAATTTTATGGATGACATCAGTTTCTTTTAATTAAGAATACCTGTAAAGCGAAAATAAGAATTGTAAGAAAGAGAAAATAGATCTTATCACACATCTACAACTTACCTCCTGCTCGGGCTGCCGTTGAGTCTCTTTTGCTGACTTTTTGTTGTCGTATGAGGAAAATAGGGTTGTCTGCCCTGAAAAATCCCATATGTGTAACTGCATAATAACATCAGTTAGAAACAACACACTCCAATACAATGGCTTTCAGAAACATAAAATAAAATAGGCTACAAACCATCCAATTTTACTTCAAATATATATTGTTTCCCTAGGAAAACCAAATAATTGAAAGCTTACTAGCTCAGACTCGACACTGAAAATCTTGCAAGCTCTTTTGAAGCGATCGACTGCATTGTCCTGCAAAAATACAACAAACGCACTTCAACATATGGAAAGAATAGAATTAAAACAAAGAACAATCCAAATTTTTAAGACCTTTAATGATATATATTGTTCTATTTGATAAATGTCCTTATTAATGTCCCTTAGTAAGGCCACGAATTGGGAAAGCGCAGAAGCTATGAAGCACAGACATAAACACAGACACGGACATGTGAACACGCAAATTTTCAAAAAATAGGAGACACGACACGTTGGGGACTCATTCAATATATATAATTAAATTTATTTATTATGTCATAAAATTATATAAAAAAATCATTGAAAGGTACTGTTAAAATTATATAGAAAAAACATTTTGTATTTCAAAATAAAAAATTGGTTCCTATAATAAAATTAATAAACACAACATTAAAATTAATAATTTCAGCAATATCAACTACAATTTGATTTTTCTTCAAATAAAACTAATTTGTTCTATCAAATAAAACTAATTAGCCAACAAAATAATAATAATAACAATCAAAGACAGAAAGAGAGAGAAAGAGAGAGAAGCCAAAAATTAAAAAATTTAAAAAAAAAAAAACATTTACATTCAGCACAAAGAAAAAAAAAAGAAGAGAGCAACGAAGATAGCGAGAGCGAAGAAAAGAGAGAGAGAGAGAGCAAAGAAAAACAGAGAGACCGAGAGAGAGAGAGATCGAAAAACTCGAAGAAGAAGATCGAACAAGAAGAAGAGAATCGAAGAACATTCCTTTGATATGGCAACAAGCAACGAGCAGTGAGCAACCTATGAAGCACGGGTAAGGGTAAGGGTACAATACGGGTACGCCAATACAGCAAATTCTTAAAAAAGTAAGGTAAGGGTACGGCTGAGGTACGTAAATTTTTTTTTTTAAAAAAAAAATTAATTTATAGCTAAACATCCAACATACAAATCAAAACTAAAAAGAGAATAACTTGTCTAAAAGGTTATATAATTCTTTCTTTTTCTTTTTTGATTGTCTAAAACAGGATGCAAAAGAGAGCAAAACCATGACTCATGGGTAAAAGGTGTTGGAAATAAATTACTTAATATTTTCAAAATTGAAAGAAGAATGATAAAGGTTGCAATAAATTCTAGCAGCTGCACAAAAATAAATAAATAAATAATCACCTTGCCGTACCCACGACGTACCCAAATGTATTTGCCATACCCGACATGCATTCAAGGTACCCAGTACGTGTACCCGCACCTGGTACCCGCACGGTACCATTTTTGGAGTACTTGTGCTTCATAGTGAGCAACTCTTTCTCTTGTCTCTTCTTTTCAATCAATTCAATTGTAGGGTTCCAAATTGGGTTAATTGTTTTAATTTTATTTTTTACAATTTGACCCCCACTTCAAGTTTCAGAAATTATGTTTTGCACCCCGTAGTGTCCAACACATGTCCCAAACGTGTCCAGCAACAAAAAATTCAAAAAAAAAAAAAGGGACACTCTCAGGAGAGTGTCGGACACGTGTCCACAGCGTGTTCGACACATGTTCGTGTCCGACACTGATACGCAGACATCGGAGAGGTGCCCGTGCTTCATAGCCCAGAAGTGTGTTATTTCACTGGGCCCAATAACTAAAGTCGGTCAAGCCTCGCGTGATCAAGCAAAAAAAGAGCATCCTTATGAATTATTTTTTAAAACTTATAACGGGTCAAACATTGAAAAAGGATCCATTGCTAGGATCTTCCAAATAAAAAGAAAATGCCTCTTTTAGAACAATTAAAAGTTATCATTTCTTCAAGCATTATAAAGAAAATGAATTTACATCTACTAGAATTCATTTGTAGAGATTGGAACAAAAATGGAAATCAAACTAGTATTTTTTGAAAAAAGTATAATTCATAGAAAGAAACTATTTGACGAAAATGCCTATTACAAGATAATACACTATGTTGAAGAATCTTTTAGAATTGATTGTTTCCTTTATATAGTATGTTAAAACCTACCATCACCTACTCCACCTACTACACCTACCACCACCTACTACCACCTACTACACACCTACCACTACCACCTACTACCACCTACTCCACTACATCTTCTATATAAGGAGCCCCTCACCATTTGTAATAAACAACATACATCAATCAATTCAATAATACAATTCTCTATTTCTCTTTATACATTAAATTTTCTACATAGTATATCATGTTATTTCCTCAATTGAGAGTAGGATTGAACAATTTCAATTGTATAAATGCAGACATTTTTAGTTTTCTATTTAATTTCAAAAAATTAAAATCATTAGATAATTATAGTTGGAAAAATGTCTTAAACTTGAAGATTTTTCGAAACATAACTTTTTAATTATATTGATGGTCTAGATTTGTTTTTAGAATTAAAAGTTTTCGAAAAAAACTATACAACTAGAAAGAGGGGAAAAAATCACTCTAATTGATGTACCAAATTAAATTAAAAGAATAGATAACAGCTACTTTTGCAGCAATAAGTTTTTAAAATTGACAAAATCCTACCTAATATTGATTGTGTCAAGAAAAAGATTAAGTGAATTACTAATGAAAGATATGCTACATCCCCCTAATTGAGGCCCCCAATTCCACCCCCAATGACGTGGCTAAAACACATGTGAAGCAGTCCCCCACTCCTCACTCTCTCATCTTTAGCTCCCCTACTTCCACATCATTGGGCATGGAATTGGGGAGGCCAAAATTAGGGGGATGAATCATTTTTCTTACTAATAAAAGGCATCGGTTTGAGAACTTTTCTAAGGCCCCCAAAATAGTTCAGCATATTAAACAAGAAAATTTTGGCATTGCTAGACAATTCAATCGCATTCCTCTAAATACCCCTAACATTGGAGTTTCATGTCATGATCCATGCTCAAGCATAGAGGTAATCTCAAATAATCATTTTGTTGATACTCATGGTCATCTTTTAAAAAAAAATGATATTCTCGAGGTATTCATCATTAGTGTTATTTATGTTGTATCTATTTAATGGCTAAACAAAAATGATACACATTGGAAGCCAAAAACAAAGATCTGTAGATAGCAAGAAGCCTTTCTTGGTCTAAAAGAAAGTGACCATAGCCATTACATAAGTTGTGACTTTTGCTGATGTCAAGTATGTATATTTATGATTTTTTATTTTTTTATTTTTTTAGAGAAAAGGCGATGCAAAGCATGGAAATTATAAGAAGGGCAAATTTGGAATTCACGTGGATCATATGTTAGGGTCTATTTGAGTCTTAATTTATGTTTTTATGAGTTAGTGAGCAGCTAGTATGATTTATTCTATTTTTTATAGGTTTTAATAGTTAGAAGTATTTTCATAATTTTGCAATTTCCTAAACATGGCCATGGGATGGTTCGTAATTTGAGTCACGTCATAATTTTAGGTAGTTTACGGTAGGCATAGAATATTCAAATTCATAAAGGTTTCCTAGTTTCCTATTTGTGAATGTAACCAATTCTTTCATTTCTTTGGGCTACTGGCCATCCGCCAAACCAACAATGGACAACAACTCCCCCTCGAACACCAAGGAACTCCATTTAAATTATCCCGGGCTGAGTTTACAAATATTTGAAATTGTGTTTGTACTTTGTGCGAATATGTCTAACCCTTACTAGGGTGAAGCGCCTCTTTCCTTCTCCGCTTCTTCTACCTTTTTTTCTCCTTTCTCGCACAATTTATGATATTACTATTTTTGTGATACTATTCACAATTATGGAACAGCTACCTTCTTATCCCCAAAACCATTTAATGTTCATACCATCAGCATTGGAAATTAAGTTTGTGCCACCATTGAATGTTTTTCCCAATTCTTTGTCATCTAAGCATGTGTTGTCATCTATTATTTGTGCATTAACACATGCCAGATTTGAGCATTCCCCCTTTTCCACAATTTTTCCCATGCAATTCCCTGTATCAAATAATACTCTTTTAGATGTAGGTTATTTAAGAAGTGGGTTGGTCAATCCATTTTTTTTTTTTTCCCATTGGAGAGGTACTTGGCTTGGCAGACAAATATGACCACCATGGCATTTCTTTTCCTTGGGCCATATGAGGATTAGTGAGCCATGGATCGAAATCTTAGGATCTAGCCAGAGAAGACTTATTAAGTTATTACACCTTGGGGCAAGCCCATACAACAAAAAGATAAAGACTCTTTGACAGGGTACTCTACAAGAAACACAACCTCACAACCTCCCAAAGCTGCCTAATCACACAATGCAGTCTGAGCCAAAGACAAGTATGGACCAATCTTAGCCAGAATAGACCAAGCTAAGCAAATAGGAACCATCCCAATCCAAGCAAATTATTAACTATGATAACATTCTTCCTATAGCTACAAAGGCCAATTGGTCCCACCTCCAACTCAAGCCGGGAGTTGAATCACCCTAATTTTTTTCAAAAAAATAACAAAATACAGAAAGGGAGAGTTTATATCATGTATCAATCATAGGATCACCCTATGGATAGGTCAATTCTCTGTAACCCCCCGCATTCATGATAACCCTTGCTTCTTGCTACAAATGGCTCCTTGATAAAGGTTTCAAGACTTCCATTATTTTGATCAATAGTTATAGTCTCCCCTTTCAATGAAATAACTTCCAATATATTCCTTCCTTTGCCTTATTATCCTTAACCATTCATTCCTCCTAGGTAGGTAGTCTTAGTGGAGAGGTTGATTCCAGTGACCAATCCTGCCAAAGCATAAGGGAAGGAAGATAGCACTTTCCATCACACTAGCTCACAGCCTATTTTTCCCTAATATTTACGTAATTCATATAAATCTTTTATCAAGTATATTGGACAACCAATTGCCTAAAAAGATTATACTGATAAAAAATAATAAATAGGAACAAACAATGCAAATTGAGCTCTTACACCCTCACCCTCCCTCCTCGTTTTCTACCCCAATTTGTCACCCCCTTTTCTCAAAGTCTCCTTGTTCTCTTTTGGCAAGTATATACATGCACATACACACGTGCAACTAACAGCCCCAAAACAAGTTTCAGGGTACATATAATTAATTGGTGGCCCCAGCAATGTACATCAAGCTGTCACAGTCGCACATTGGAAAGGGTGTGAGACTTGAGACTTGAAGGCCAGTTTTTCTTGTCTTATATTGTTAGTTTGTTATATGTAATCTCTGCCAACATAAAACTCTAAAAAAAAATTAAAAAAAATAAAATAAAGGCTCAAAAACTGTGTATGCTTCTATTCATGCTGAATTGGAAGTTATTTCAATTCATGAATTAATAACCTACTGTACTCCATGAATTACAAACATTATCCAGATGTCTATTAAAATTAATATTATGTTTACAAGTAAATCTAGCACTTTGCACCTGTATCGGATAGTATTTCATGTAAGAACTAAATTCTTTTCATTTAAGAGCCCATACCATCAAAGAATATGTTTCATTCTTAAATTCCAGAAGGAGGCAAAGGCTTTAAGACCGGAAGTGTCAATCAAAATGATACATATCAAGAAAGTGAGAGAGATTAGCTGAAAAGTTTCACCTTTTTGCTTATTTTTACTCCCACTGTGTTTGTTTCTCGCAAAGCAGAGAGCCTAAGTTGTAAAGGATAGACATCTGCCATATCATCTTCTGCAGCTGAAAAGCTTCTACCATCCTTTGTAGCAGTTTTATTATCGCTGTGCCTATGTGAAGCAGGAGAACATTACCAGTTCTTTAGTGGGATAAACTATTACTATCCAAGCACTTGTATCCAAAAGCATGGGCTTTTCCTCTAATATATAGATAAAGCCATCAATATAAAAGGTAATCTCAAGAATTTATCAATTAGTAACCATGCAACTCTGACACCCCAAAATTGCTTAACACACCATAGAAACAAAACAATTTAAAATAAAAAATTGACACGAGCAACCTCAAAAGGGTATTTCCAGGAAGAAGACACAGTAGCCTACATAGAAAAACAAACTGCTTTCTTTTCCATATCTACTAAAATATAAAACAAAATGGAGTGAAAAAATAAGTTATCACTAAGGAAAATGTTTAAGGTTTTAGGCTTCTCCTAATTTGACCCACAATATCAAGGCATGATACATGTCAAGTTTTGATTTGTCACAAACTCAGCCATATAAGACCCAACCCAACTCTTGTGCGATGACACCATGGGTGAATTTGGGGATGTAAATTGTGGGTCTCGAGCATTTTTGTTTCACTTATAATTGTGATTACAGTTAATTCAGTGGACAACTCCAAGCGAAAGAATACTGCAGTTGTGTGCATGGAATAGAAAAAAATAATGGTTCCCCAACAAGCAAGAATCTATGACTTACCATTTTATTTTTTCAAAGGTGCAAGGAGACTCAATAAATTGTGAGCATACCATAAATCACTCAAATAAGAAATAAGTTACCGAATGCAAGAAATTAAAGAACCAGCTGTTGGAATCATTGAAAACAAGGCATCTCAAGCAATAATCCAACAAATAAACACCAATTTTCACGCACATTTGAATCAAAGAAAACGACAAAGCCGCAAGCACTACTGTTCCATTGGCTATTCAACAAATTCAGAAAATCCAGTTTCACACAAAATCTAAAGCACTCACCATTTAAGAGCCTCCAGCCACATTTCCCCAGGAACCAGGGCATATTCCCGACCTGAGATCCCCACATCACCATTCTCATTATTCTGCAAAAAATCACCATCTCTCCTCAGATTCAACACAAGATCTGAGTTAAATATGTTGTTGATTATCTTCATCGGACCGGCATACGATGACACGGGTGTGACCGTGTACAAAATCCCCTTCTTCCCATCCGAATCAGGCGATGATGAAGAGCCCTGTGCCTCTTTCCACCACCTAAAACACCACATGTGAAGAAGACCCAACAATCCCAATTGTCAAATTTCACAACCCGAATCATATTTTACCTAAATTTGATCATTTGAATCCAATGCGGGGGGAAAAAAAAAAACCCCGCATAGAAAACAAAAAAACAAAAAAGTGTAAATTGTGCTTTGGGCTTGCAAATGTTGATTGATTGATTAATTGATTGATTGATTGAAGAGGTGAATGAGGGTGTTTACCTGTAGGGAACGAAGTAGACTCGCTGGTCGTCGCCGTTGTTTGAGACGGAGGCTTGTTTGGAAGTGTCGGAAGATTCTTCGGTGGGACCGTCCATTTTTAGAGAGAGAAAGACGGAGCTTGTGCAAATTCAAAAATGGCGGATGAGGCTTGCAAGAATGCAGATCATGAGAGAGAGAAGAGAGAGAGAATGGCGGATTTGAAGAGAAGCGAGTGGTGTTTTTTCCGTGAAGAGGATTCAAAGGATCAAAATCAAATAAAAAATTTTTTAAAAAAAATTGATATATATATATATATTAGTTAGGGTCCGACTTCTGTCCAGTCCAATTGAACCGTGCTGTTGGATCCATGCGGGTCTACCATGGGCCCCGTTTTGAAAATTTAAACTATTAATATGTAGAACTCATTGAGTACTACATATTTACAAAAAATCACGTTGATTAGATATCGATAGCTATGTGATCAAATCAGTTTTGTATAAAAAAATAGACGGTGAAAAAATTAACGGTTGATAAAAAATTATTTTGTTCACATAGCTATCGATATCCGATCAACATGATTTTTTACAGGCATATAGTACTCGACGAGTTCTACACATTGAACGGTTCAGATTATCAAAACGAGACCCGTGGTAGGCCTCTACGAGTCCAACAGTACGATCCAGTCTGATCCCAGACTAGACAGAAGCCATGGCCTATTAGTTATTATTATTGCGAGGAAAAAATTGGAGGGTGTTTGATTTGTGTTTTGAGATAATTTTTTAAAAAATAATTTAGAGAGAAAGTTTAGAAATTTTTTTGATTTGTTTGGTTGTATATTTGGAAAATGGTTTTGGAGTTTGGGATGATTTGATATTTTGTTGTAGTTGAAAAGATTTGTATGAGAAAAAAAGTGATTGAGAATAAAAAAGGAAAGAGAAAAAATAATTGATTGATGTATAATTAAGATAAAATGATTTTAGAAATTTTTTAAAAAGAATTTCCAACCAAATAAATTTATTTTAAAAAAAATTCAAAAATTATTTTTTGAGAGTTAAACCTAACAAACTCCTGTGCACGGTGCGGTTTTGATCGTTTACAAGTCAACCGTGAAGGGTGGATTCACATTTAACCAAAGAGCTAGATGTCATGAAAAAAAATTTATGAAAGTGATTATGAAATATTTATGATTTTTTTATTATACTTAAAATAAAATATTACACACTAATTAAGGTAATTCAAGAGTCATAAAATTTTCATGATCATTTTTATGAAAATTTTTCCACGGTCTCTAACTTTTCTCATAACGAAATCACTATTGAGGCAGTTTTAATTTATTAGTTAATTTAATATTTTTTAAAATAATTATCAAGTATTTGTATAATATTTTTTATATATATAACATAAATTAATTTTATATAATATTTTACAGATACATACTATTAATTTATAACAAATTTTATATTTTAAATTTTTTTACACTTATTTTTATTTTGATATTTTATTAAAATTTTAATATATATATATATATATAAAAAAATTATAACAAAGCAGTGGAGAGCAATTTCAAAACGAATTATAGATTTTAAAACTTAATCAACGGAGTACAAATTAATGTACATATATTATAATTGTACGTTACAGTGACAAAAATCACTATAATTGTACGTTACAGTGACAAAAATCACTATCGATAATAGTAAATAATTATATTAAAGGTCCGGCTTTGATCCAGTCCAGATCGGATTAGACGGTATTGTTGGGTTCATTAGAATCAATCATGGATTTTACTTTGATAATCTGAACCGTTTAATATGTATAACTTGTCGAGTACCATATGTCTGTAAAAAATTACATTGATCGGATATTAATAGCTATGTGATCAAAATAATTTTTTATCAACCGTTAATTTGTTCAATGTTTATTTTTTTATACAAAACTGATTTGATCACATAATTATTGATATCCGATAAACGTAATTTTTTATAAGAATATAATACTCGACGAGTTCTACACATTAACGGTTCGGATTATCAAAACATGGCCTATAATAAATTTTCACAGACCCAATAATACTGTCCAATCCGACCTCAGACTGGATCAAAGCGGAACCTTGTATTAATATGTGATATATATTTGGACAAACGGGGATGCATATGCGGAGAAAAGCGACGTAAACGGACGGTGTTTTTGGAAAATGTGATTTTGGTGTGGATATTTATGTTCATAATCAAATGTTTTAAGTCACATCAATTATATAATTTAAATGATTTTAAAAATTAGATTTAAATCTCTACAATATTTTTGCTAAGTTTTACTAATGCCTCGTTTAGAAATAAACTATTTTAAAAAAAAAATTTGCTACAATAAGAGGTAAAAAAATTGAGTCCAGATCTTATCCTTAGCTCCCTACTTAGTAGGTCATTGGGCTTAATTTTGATGATCCAAACCATTTAGAGCATCTCCAATGCACTAGGGATATAATACTTGTTAGTTAAAATGTCTAGTGTGATTCAATTTTTTCAATTCTAATACACTAGGCATATATGATTAGGCATTTTGGCTCAACTCATATTCACTAGCTGGCTAGCCTTCAACGCTAGGCAAAATATATTCAATCATTAGGATCATTTCCCTCCATCTTTGTTGTTGGCGTGGCATTCTGTAAAATTAATAGTATTTGGATAAACAGCTAAAATAAATAGTATGGTTGGAGTAAAAACATAAAACAGTTGATAGGCAAAATAAAATATATACTTTATAGTAATATTTAGATAGGTAAAATGCCTACTACCGTTGGAGATGCTCTTACATGTTAGGATTCATCGAGTATATCATACTTATAAAAAATTAAATTGATCAAATATCAGAAATCACGTGTTTAAATCTTCAAATTAAAAATTGTTTATTAAAAAAATTTAACAAACAGTTTTATTTTTTAATAAAACGATTTTTAGTTCGATGATCCGAACACGTGGGTTTCAATATCCGATCGACTTAATTTTTTAAATATATATTCGACAAATCTTAAAATATAAACAGTTCGAATCATCGAAATTGGGCCCAAAATAGGCCCAATGGCCCACCAAGTAAGGAGCCAACGAGGATCTAGACTCAAAAAATTAATATATTTAAAATGACATTTTGGTTTTTATGAAAAGATGTACAGAAAGTATAAAGCAAATGAAATCTTTGAATTTTTAGTATAAATTGTTAGTTTTTTAGTTTTTTTTAGCAATTTTTTAATGAAAAATGCTTGAGACTCCCATTTTTTAAATACTCTCACAACCTCCTTTCGATCTCCACCATTGATGTATATATGGGACCCACAAATGTATATGTGGGGCCCACACCATCAATAGTGAAAATTCAAAGGAAATTGTTGAGGTCTCCAAAAAATAAGAATCTCAATCATTATTGTTTTTTTAATTTTTAGACTAAAATATTAAATTGTCAAACGAGACCTAAATTCTAATCTATCAAAAATTTGTTTACACATTGAGAACTTTAAAATTTCATAATTTTAAAAAGAAATGAAATAGTGAAAACTGGTCATAGATACTAATAACTCTAAAATACTTCTTTTATATCAGTCTTTTATTTATTGTCTCTCTCTATTTTTCTTTTTCTTCACCATTGTCTGCCACAATCCACTAGCTCCCTCAACCATCATTCACCATTTGTCTTTTCAAACCAGCGTCTGTGTCTTCAATATTGTCGTTCATTCATCACCGATCTAAATGCCTACCACCATTCGATATTCATTATTGCATCTACTACCTAAGCTTCTAGCGTTTCGCCACCACTACCTTCTTTGGCAATCCAAATCTATATATTTCTGTGTGTTTTTTTTATTCTCTCTATATCAAAATAATGTGATTTCACTATCACATGGTGTGATTTCACTGTGCACAGTGAAATTTCACATGTTCAATGATTTTTTGGTGTGTTTTGAATCAAACAATTTTGTGTTTTGAATTACTTAATCAATTCAATTCAATTTCATTAACTTTATTTATGCAATTTACAACACAATGAAATTTCACTGAGAAATAGGAAAATTTCATTGAGTTAAATTATATTGTATTTAACATAGTATATGTCCAACAAAAATTGTGTTATAATACAGATAATTCATAGAGTTCTATTTAGATTTTGGCTATTTTAACCTGGGCTAAAAAGCTTGGTTTGGGAAAGACTTTTTGACTTTTTGGTTTTTTTGACTTTTTTTGTGAGAGAAGAGTGTAATGATTATGGGTTGGATGTGATGTTTTATTTTTTGTGACTAAAATAGACTATTTTGTCTTTTGTAGCTAAAATAGCCAAAAAAACCCAGAAAAGCCCTTCCCAAACGGACCCATAATAAAATATTTTTGTGCTACATGACTGTTATGCTGTCATTTTTTTGTTCTAATTTTTAACAAAAATTAAGTTTAAAAATAAATTAAAAAAACTTGAAATATAAAGAGTCAAAATAAAAATAAAAAAAAAAAACTTTAAAGGCCAAAAGTCACCAAAATAAAAAAATAAATTACACTTTACTTCTTCTTTTTTTATAAATATTTTAGCCATTAACATTTTTTTTAATTTAGTTTTTTTAACTTTACACTTTCATTTTTTAAGGTTTTTTGAATTTACTTTTGAATTTAACATTTGCCAAAATTAGACAAATTGTACATTAACAACTACCTGATAATATATCATTATATAACGTATGCCTCTAACCCAAAATTTAACCTAAATACAATAATATATATTTGATATCAAGTGGTTGCTAATGTAATATTTTCTGCCTAGTTTTTAGGGGTGTCCGCGGTTCGGTTTAGGACGGTTTGCGGTTCGGTTTGGACCCGCCCGCATCTATGCGGTTTGGAAAAAAATCAACCCGCAACCGCCCACAATGCGGTTTGCGGTTTGTGCGGATAGGGTTCGCGGGTGTGCGGACGGTTGCGAGCGGTTTGCGGATTGAATTTTTTTTCTCAAAAATTTATTTTTAAACCTTTTTTTTCTCCTATTTTGTCAATCTTTATTTTGGACATTTTTTCTCATATTTTCTAAAATGCTCCAACATTAATAATTAATGAACTAAAACTTATAAAAATTCAGAATTAAATAAACAGATTCAATTCAGAATTAAACAAACAAATTCTACTTATTTTTTCTGAATTCCACCTAGTTGGCCAATCTGAATTCCAAAAATTAAATAACATCCAAATTCAGATTTCAGATTTAATACAGACACAATTAATAAAACAAACAGATTC